TTTTTTTTTTTTCATTTTTCTAAGAAAAAATTCAAAAAAAAACCAAAACAAGACGCCGAGGAACTTTTTTTTATATATCATGATATATAAAAAAAAAGTAAGAAAGAGTGAAGCGAATTAAATATAAAAAAGGCATGGCCGGGTTAGGAAGAAATACCTTACTTTCTTTTCACTGTATGCTAGGACATCTTTAGAGCTTTTAAAACTAGTACTGCAGACTTTCGGAACCTATTGGTAAACGAAAAGCGGCAGAATACAGTAACATCTTAAAAGATTAGACAACTAGCAGGGAACTACTAAATAAAACTTTAATGCTACTAGCTCATTGTAGCATTAAACGCTTTTATGGAGTAGGATCTTCAGAGACTACACGTGAATACCTTAGTAAATATTTATTATTTAAAGGTAAAGATATAGTCCGCGCATTAATGAAAATTAGTGATAAAGTGTATGCCAGCTTTAATTGGTGGATTCGGTAACTTCTTACTTCCATTAGGATTAGGAGGACCTGATATGGGATTCCCTAGACTTAATAATATAAGTTACTTATTATTAATACCTAGTATTGTTCTTTTCTTATTTGCAGGTGGAATAGAAAATGGTGTAGGTACAGGTTGAACACTTTACCCTCCATTATCAGGTATACAAAGTCATAGTGGTCCAAGTGTGGACTTAGCTATCTTTGGATTACACCTTTCTGGTATAAGCTCCCTTTTAGGAGCTATGAATTTGGGTCTTACCCTATACATTGCTAAATTTAAACACCTTATAAATATGACTAGAATAAAAGTTATAAGTTATGGTGTGATGTTTAAAAAATACTATTCTACTCTCATTCTATCTAGTTCTAATGACAAATCAACAAAATTTAACCCAAAAAACCAAAAATTGAACCCTAATTTTTTAACAGGATTTATTGATGCAGAGGGTTCATTTATAGTAGTTATTCGTAAAGAACCTCGTAATAAAACAGGTTGAAGGGTAGATGCGAGATTAGCTATCGGTCTTCATAAAAAAGATGTCGCATTGTTGGAATTAATTAAAAATTCTTTAGGAGGAGTAGGAGATATTGCACCTCAAGGTAAGGACTGTTTACAATATAGAGTAAGTTCTATTAAAGATATAATGGATGTGGTAATACCACATTTCGAGATGTATCCTTTAGTGTCTCAAAAAAAAGCGGACTTTGAGCTATTTAAAAGTATTGTAAAACTAGTTAATGATAAAAAGCATCTTACTTATGAGGGAATCTTAGATATTGTATCCTACAAGGCTTCTTTGAATTTAGGTTTATCCAGTCAATTAAAATCCGCCTTTCCTGAAGTTATCCCTAGACCAAGACCTGTTGTGCAAGGGCAAACAATTAAAGATCCTCATTGATTAGCTGGTTTTGCATCTGGAGAAGCATGCTTTTTCATTCGTATTGCTAAATCTTCTTCTACTAAAACAGGATCTCAAGTACTATTGAAATTTCTAATACCCCAGCACAGTCGAGATACCTACTTATTAAAAAGTTTAATTAGCTATCTAGGTTGTGGTAACTACCGCCTTCGTCTTAAAGAAGATAAAGGTGAATTTGTTGTGGAGGATTTAAAGAATATCACTAGTATTATTATCCCATTTTTTAAAAAGTACCCTATTATGGGTATTAAGTCTGAAGATTTTTTAGACTTCTGCAAGGCTTCTGAACTTATGTTAAATAAAGAACATCTTAATAATGAAGGACTTGAAAAACTTAGTATGATTAAGAGTTCAATGAATAAAAAGCGTGTTGATACGAGTAAAGATTAATGTTGAAAATAAATTTGCACCTTTGGACACTTATAGAAGCAATAAATACCTATATATGTATAATAGGGATAAGTCTATTTTGTATTTTTATACAAAGAAAATTAGTGATTTTTTTCATGTTGGAATACATTATATTACTTTAAAAAAACATTTGAAAAAGGGTACGTACTATTTGGGTAAATACAAGTTTAGCAAGGAGTTTGTGCCTTCAGCTAAGTATAAAAAAATTTCTCTCTTAGAACTAGATTTGAAATTAAAGAGAGATAGAGAAGAGAAATTTACACGAAAAGGCTAATTTTTGTTTTGTGTAATTACTTTATCAATTTTACTCGTCGAATTTAGTATTCAATGTATTTCTTACATATTTAAGATATTTAACAAACTTTCAAGTAACATTAGTTAAACACATTGATTTAGGTAAAGCATATAAAGGATATTTATGTGAATATGTGAAAGAAAATACGTTGTAATGGGATTCATATAAAATTTTTAACTGTATGCTGGAATAGCTCAGTGTTTATAAGTACTTAATAGTAAAAATCTTGTAAGCTATGCTTAATCAGCAGGAAACAAAAGTAATTTTGATTATCATTAGGTTCCTCAGAGACTACACGTTAAAGACCGTATATTAATACGCTTAAAATATAGTCCACAAATAGTTATTATTTTAACTATTTTTAGTCATGACAACTACATTTAACATGAGAAGTCCTGGTATAAGATTACATAAACTAATCTTATTTGCTTGAGCAGTTGTTATTACAGCTATTTTATTATTATTATCATTACCTGTCTTAGCCGGTAAACTTATTCTGCCGGCTCTAAATTTGGCTGTATTCTGGGAACCGTTATATGAAAATATATCGCAATCAGAAGGTAATTTATTAAGTTTGAACTTTTTAGAGAACCTCAGAGGCTATACGCCAAAATATTTTGGTTGTAGTTTAGAAATTTTAACCTTTCCTTTATGTACAACGGTTAGATCAATTCATACTGATAATAATAGTAAGAATTTAAATAAATCTCTCTTTAGTTATTATCTTACCGGGCTTATTGAGGGTGATGGTACAATAATTTCACCAAAAACTTTAAGATCCCCTAAAGGTAAGTTAAATTATCCTTCTATACAAATAGTTTTTCATTTAAAAGATTTACCTTTAGCTTTACTTATTCAAAAAGAATTAGGTGTAGGTTCATTATCTAGAAAAAAAGGGGTAGATGCTTATATATTAACTATAAATAGTTATGAAGGTATTTTATTCGTTATTTCATTAATAAATGGAAAAATGAGAACACCTAAAATATATAGTCTTAATGAATTAATAGATTTTTTAAATAAAACTAAAGGAACCAGTATTGAAAAATATTCTGTATCTATAGAGCCTTTACATTCCAATCCATGGCTGTCAGGGTTTATAGAAGCAGACGCTTCTTTTCAAGTAAGAACTACTCTTTCAGGTAAATATCCTAAACTTGAATGTAAATTAGAAATATCTCAAAGACGAGAAGATCACAAAGGATATGATAATTTAGAATTTTTAAGTTATATTGCTGAGTTTTTAGAAACGGAAGTAAAAAAAATAAGATCGGATAAACCAAAACCTGAGTATAGAGTTAGAACTACTAACCTTAAAGGTAATATTAATGCTAAAAATTATCTTTTACAATTTCCTCTATTTGGAACTAAACATTTAGATTCCTTAGATTGAATGGAAGTAGTAGATATGTTTGGTAGAAAGGAGCATAATACAGATAAAGGAAAGGAAAAAATAGTAAATATCAAATCAGGTATGAACAACTACAGAACTGATTTTACTTGAGATCATTTACAAAAATTCTACAACGTAAAAATATAAGATATGGTCCGATCAGGCATGAAAGTGTCTGCGTATCTGCACTAAGTTTTAATAACTTTTTAAGCTAAAGAATAACACTTTAAGCTATGGGATTTCATCCAGCAGATCAACAACAGTAATGGGAATTACTATGGTTCTTACTGACAGAAACTTTAACACTTCATTCTTTGAAGTAGCAGGTGGTGGTGATCCTATATTATACCAACATCTATTCTGATTCTTCGGACATCCTGAGGTTACGAATGTAGGCCTCTTAACGTCGCTGTATGCTGGGACCCCTTCGCTATATAGTTCTAAATACTCCTCCTTATATGGCACAGTAAAAAAGTTAGAACAATGAAGGAAATCAGCCGGTAACATTTTATATATAAAAAATGGAACCTCAGAGGCTCTACGCGACGGAGTTGTAGTAAATTTAGAAAATGTTAAACGTGTATCAGATCACGTTCCTAAACATTTGAAGCCTCTAAATAATGAACAATTAGGTTATTATCTAGCAGGATTCATAGACGGGGATGGTCATTTTAGTAAAGCTCAACAATTAGTTATAACTTTTAGTTCTCCAGATGCATTTCTAGCCTATTACTTGAAAGGAAGATTAGGTTACGGTAATGTAAGAAAAGTAAAGGACAAAAACGCATACCTTTTAATTGTATCTAATGAAAAGGGTATGTTAAATATAATTAACTTGATAAATGGTAAATTAAGAACAGAACACAGATTTAACCAAGTAGTTAATAATGTATTAAGTCATACTAAGTATGCAGATCAAAATATTCATTTTACTATAGATTCAAGTAAAAATTTTGATAACCACTGATTAGCAGGTTTTTCTGATGCGGATGCTAGTTTTCAAATAAAAATTATTAAACGTATTACCAGAAATAAACCGGAAATAAGATTAAATTTTCAAATAGATCAAAAAAGTGTTTTATTGTTAAATATAATAAAAGAATACTTAGGTGGAAACATTGGATATAGGAAGTCTCAAGATACCTATTATTACGGTTCTACTAGTTTCGGTTCTGCTAAAAGGGTTATAGAATATTTTGATCGATATCACTTACAATCTAGAAAGCATATAAGCTATTTAAGATGAAGAAAGGTATATAGATTAATACAAGACAAACAACACTTAACAGATAAAGGGCTATCCAAAATACTAATCATTAAATCTTTAATAAACCGTCATGAAGAAAATACTACAACTTAAGATAAAGTCCTAACAAGAATATAAAAGTTTTTGAGTATTAATGAGAAAAGACTGTTATAATACACAGCTATTCCTTTAATCAAAATATTGTTACATTTTAATTATACCAGGTTTTGGTATAATAAGTACTACAATTTCTGCCAACTCTAACAAAAGCGTGTTCGGATACCTTGGTATGGTTTACGCTATGTGTTCTATTGGTATCTTAGGATTTGTAGTTTGAAGTCAATGGCTGGCTTTCCTTATGGGTGACTATAAGGTAATAAATTTCGCTATATGATTCTGGAACAGCTTAGTGCCTATAAGTACTTTTAATAGTGAAAATCTTATAGGCTATGCTCAATCAGCAGGTAATTTTAGTTTTGTGTCATCTTCTTTTTTAGTAGCGAAGGATACAAAAACGGACAAAAGCTCCTCAGAGACTACACGCGAAACATCTTTTAATTTTGATGAATATAGAAAAATATCAGATAAAAATTCTGATCAAGTATCTGACAATTGGTTAACTTGGTTTATTGGGTTTTCTGAAGGTGATGGTGCTTTTCTTACAGGAAAAGACAAACGTCTTGTATTTGTACTAACTCAAAAAGAAACTGCTATACTAAATCATGTGCATGAAACATTAGGTATTGGTAGGGTTAGAACATACGGTAATTTTAGTCGTTATCGTGTTGATGATAAAAAAGGTATACTTGTTCTAATTTCTTTATTTAATGGTAACTTGGTTTTAGATAAAAGAAAAGTCCAAGTAAAAAGATGATTAGATACTGTTAATATAGAAGAAAAAAATAACAATGTTCTTCCCATACTAAATAATAGTTGACTGTCAGGATTTATAGATGCAGAAGGTTGTTTTAATGTTACACTTTTTAAAAGAAAATCTATGACTTTAGGCTATCAAGTTAAACTAAGATTTATGATTGACCAAAAAGATAGCTTGGATAATATGCTCTTTATAAAGGACCAGTTAAATCTGTTTTTAACTAACAGAAAGCTTAAAAAAGGTACTATTGGTACTATGCATAGAATAGAAAGCAATTCATTTGTTAAGGTCCCACTTATAATTGAATATATCTATAGATTTAGATTAAAAACTAAAAAACAAGAGTCATTTGACAAATGAGTAACAGTTTATGAGTTAGTAAAAAACAAGGCTCACCTTACAGAACAAGGACTTAATGAAATAAGAAAACTAAGTAAAGAGGTCAATATAATCACTAGTATTACAAAAAAAATTGGTGATAAACTTAATTAAAAGATGAAGATATAGTCCACAAAAGGTTTTTACCTTGTGCACCACATGTATACTGTTGGACTAGACGTAGATACAAGAGCATACTTCACAGCGGCTACTTTAATTATTGCAGTTCCTACTGGTATTAAAATATTCTCTTGATTAGCAACTTGTTATGGTGGTTCTTTACACTTTATACCATCATTACTATTTGCATTAGGTTTTGTATTTATGTTTACTATAGGAGGGTTATCAAGCCACTTAGCTCTCTTTGCAAGTTATAAGATACTTTTTATACTTGTTATAAGCACTACTAAATGCTGGGAAGTACTGACAATAGGAATACTAAATATATCTCTAGCCCCGAGGGGCTTACCCTTTGGGAAGATCCCCGATGGGGCTCATCCCGCAGGGATAGTAAAAATTTCATATTTTGTACAATCAGCAGGTAACTTGGTGAATTATTCTGTTTGTATTATTAACAGAATAGTATACCCTTGCACCCCAGAGACTAAACGTAGTCCTCATAGACTAATGTATTATGCATTAGTATTGTGAGAAGATATAGTCCACACAATAAATTTCTTAATTTCATTTTTCTTTACAAATAAATATACTCCAAATCATTCCAATTTAGAACTTAATAGCTCTCCTCTAATAAAGTACGTTTCTACTGAAGCTGAGGATATGCGTAGTAGTAGTAAATATTTTTGACGTAGTACTTGTAGCCCTAGAGATATTACCCCTAGAGAACTATTACCGTGTGCGAATGATAGTGATAATATTTATAATGAGGAAGGAAAATTAAAACCTGTAAAGGTATATGATGATCTTAAATCAGATAGAGCTAGAATTTTTAAAGAATGTGCTAAGGTATCAGGTGTTTATTATTTAATAAATAACATTAATGGCCATACTTATGTAGGAAGTTCTATAAATTTAGCTGCTAGAATGAAAAACTATCTTAACAATAGTTATCTACAAAGTAAAACAAATTCTAATATGCCTATTACAAAGGCTTTACTTAAGTATGGCCATTCTAACTTTTCTTTTTGAATTTTAGAGTATGTTAACTCTGACCAGTTAGCTATAAGAGAAACTCTATATATTACACAAATTCTTCCTTATTATAATGTATTAAAAAAGGGTTATTCTTCTTTAGGGTACAAACACACGGAAGAAACTAAAACTCTTCTTTCTAATTTAGCTAAGAATCGGGTACATTCACCTGAAACTAAGGCATTAATAGTAAAAGCTCTAACAGGTCAGAACAATCCTTTTTTCGGTAAAAGTCATACCATGGAAAGTATTAGGCAAATCATTAAAAATAAATCATATAATCCTGTTTACATTTACGATTCCTATAAAAATTTAATAGCTATTTATCCTTCAGTAAGAACATTGTCTAAAAAGGTTGGTGCGAATAGTACCACAATCGTTAATTATATAAAAAGTAAAGCATTGTTTAGAGGAGAATGGTATTTTACTAATATTCCTTTTAACATTGATGATACCCCTATAATAAAAGATTGAACCCTTACAGAATGTGACTTATTGGCTAAAGAAATAAGAAGCAGAATTGAAATTACAAAAGGTGTTTTTGTTTATGATAAAAACAAAAATTTTATAGCTAGGTACAAGGGAGTAACAGAAGCTGGTAAAATACATAAAGTTAGTCATCTTACTGTAAGAAGATATGCTAGTGTGAACGGATTACATCCTTCAGGTTACTATTTTTGCTTTGAAAGATTAGAAGCAAACTATGAAAAATCCATAGTTGACACACAAGATAAAGACTAAAAAAAA